GTGGTTTACAGGTAAAAACTATTATAATCTGGCTGACGAGAAAGATCGTAACTTTATCTTTTATAACTGTTGCAACCTATATGGAAACCTGGCTTGAAAATGTTGCATGCAACATGCTTACAACTTGAGTTGTACTGTGTAATTGGAGATGTGTTTGGCTGCATGATCAGATTAAAACATATTAAATGCTCTTATGAGAGATGAGGCGAGCCAGCCCGGGTACCCAAGCTGGCCTGATTTAAGGGTGCCCAGGCTGGGAAATTTTCGCAATGGCTCGGGCTGGCTCGTTTAGGCAGGCTATAAGTATTTTGCTCTGTTCACAAGAATATATTGTTGCAAATAAGATTTTCTCGTCAGATTTCGACCGTGTTTCATTTTACATAGTGCTAAATTTTGTTTTAACTTTATTTTGTCAAGAAGCGGAAGAATATACCCGTGCATATTCGCAAGCTCTCCAAGAAGGTAAAGCAAAGAATAATCGAATTCCGATTATGCTGGTCGGGCAAGACCGAGGCGGAAAGACGTCGCTGATGAGACGTCTTTTGGGATTACCATTCAACAAATATCAACCCAGTACCACTGGCATTGTCGTTAATGTGATCGAGCTATCAGAACAAAATGCAGAAGATCCTTGGAAAAAAAGAAAAGTGAAGAGGTTTATGACCAGTGAAAGTGAGGCGAAGGCTGTGATATACAAGAAAACTGCCGAGTATCTTGACAGTGGAGTTCAGATGATTTTTGAAGACAGTGATAGTGGAGTTCAGTGGTATCTTGAAGAGGATGCGCCAGAGCCAGTGAAGCCAGCGAAGAGACGAAAATTAGTTAGTGAAGAAATTTCAGAAATCAAATCGCACGCGAATATTTTGACCACTGAACACGACAAGAAAGAAGTTCTTCGGGTATTTGTAAGTGACTTTGCTGGACAATCAATCTATTACGATACGCATGGCTGCTTTGTGAAACCGCATTGCCCTTATGTTTTGGTTCACAACCTTTCTCTGGAGTTTGATAAACCCGCCGTTCCCAGGTTTAAAGCAAGTGAGGAAGAGGAAGAGATAGAGATGAACAATCCTCATCTTAATACAAATTTAGATAATTTTACATCATGGCTGAAGTTTCTGCAAGGTTTAGGAGAATACCAAGATCAACAGTTTCCTTATAAATCTGGTCACTGTACCACTGCAAACGGTGAGAACTTTAGACTGCCACCAGTTTTAATAGTTTTAACTCATAGTGATGAGGTGAAAGGCAACGACAGCAAAATAAATTGCGTACGAAAGAGAATCAAGAAGGTCTTGTCTGGAGGAAAATATGAGAATGTCGACCCACAGTTTTTCCTGATCGACAATACATTGGAAAACGACGACGGAGACGACGTGCGAAAGCTTCGTAGAAAGCTTTTCGACCTCTCAAATGGAGTCCTCGACCAGGAGATTTCAATGCCTGTGAAGTGGCTAGATTTTGAAGTTGCTCTAAGCCGGAAACTATTACCAGATAGCAAGTATATTCCAGTTGACGAAGCTAAGCAGGAAGCGGAGGCCTGTGGCGTTGGGGAATTTGATCAAGCTATCAAATTTCTACACCGCCAAGGTGTGGTCGTACATCACAGTGGATCCAGCAAGGTTGTATTGGACCCTCACTGGCTAATGAATCGCTTTACGACAGTGATCTCCATGCCTTGGCCAGGCACGCTCTTGATCTGTTCAAGCAGAAAGGCATTTTGTTTCGAGAATATCTTCAGACGCTGGAAGACGCAGAACTTTTAGAAGAGCTTATGCAAAAGTTTAATTTGATTTGTCTTGACCAGTACGATGGAAAGACAGCTTTTTATGTCCCTTCAGTTGCCCCAGCTATGGCACCAGGAAAGGAGTTAGAAGCTAGCAAAACGGAGTTGAATGTTCCATCGCTGTTTGTGACATTTCCTCGCAAACTTGTGCCGATAAGCCTATTTACGAAGCTTCAAGTGAAGTTAATTTCTGAGTGGAAAAAGCGCTTCCCCAATCAACAAGCCACGCCTTCTTTCTACTGCAACTACTCCTTGCTTCCGCTTATTATAGACGGCGACGTGTATGACGTTTGTTTAATCGACCTCCATGAGTTCATCAAGGTTGCCGTTTTTCCAAAACAGGATGGATACCATTTCAAGTTTGCCAGTCATCTCCTAGCCACTCTGAAAAAGTGCTTGGACGACCTCAAATCTCCAGACCAACTATTATTCAGCATGACCAGCTATGACCTCGAAGTGGAATGTACCTGCTGCTTTGGTAAAGAAGAAATAAAGTGTTCTCGTCATCGTGAGATCCAGTGCCATTCAGACCGTTGTGGGCACCGCCACTTCTGGAAGCTTAGTGACCTTCAGAGATTCTACAATGATAAATCCCCTGCAGTTTGCCGGTTGGACAAACACTCATCCAAGGTGTTTGACATAAAGAGTGTAAAAATTTGGCTCAATAGTGGTAAGTGGCTAGCACTAAAGGCGTTTTTACTATGCCAGTTTTGAATTGTTTATTTGACAATTTTTAATCATATTTAACAATCAGATAAGTGTCTAATTATTAAATATGAGTTGTATATTTTTCCTTAGTATTATAGTGATGTATCTGATTAGTTGATAATTTCTGAGTGAAATTCGACGAGCATTAATGGACTATTTGCATTACAGACTAAATTTTGATCTAGACAAGTCTAGACAAAAATTTTATCACAGCTTTAAAGAGCATCACAAAATTAGTAATATTCCAAAGTTTCGTTGCGAAATGTTGTAAAATGCGGATAATATAGCCTTGCGAAGTTTGCCATTTTTCAGTCATTTTTCATTCATGCTACGACCGATCTCAAGGACATTCTGAACTGTTGGTAGACTCGCTTATCTAATTCATTGTGGATATTATGGATATTATTGTGCATGGAAAATATTTTGCTTGTAAGTTCTTGTTGAGTAATTCAAATAAAGATTTGTGGTTCGGGTCTCCATAAAATGTCAACTTCAGGCCCATAGACTCAATATATGTCACACATAATATATCTAAATCTAAGGACTGTCCATGGGGGGTTACCCCCCATGTTCAGGTTAAGGGTTTTGTGCCTTTGGTCAGGTTAAGGACTGTCCATAGGGGTTTTGCGCTCCGATTGGTCAGGGTAAGGACTGTCCATACTGGGGTCTTGTGCTCTAGTTGGTCAGGTTAGGATTGTCCAAGTGAATCTTGGTCAGATTATCAGTGCCAGTTCAGAATCAGTGCAGCTAATAGGGTGTGACATATGAGTAGGCATGATGCTTGTCATATACTGTAAATGGACTCTTCACAACCCCGAACCCCTCTCCCACAAAATAAAGATCTGTGTTTAATATTGTGTTGTCAACTTGGGTCATTAATCAAAATTTAGCCTATAATGCAAATAGTCTATTGCACTGTTTTGCAAATGTTATGTGGTGGTAAAGTATCTGCTGATAAGCTAAAACGTTCTCTTAAAGACATCACGAAATATCAGTGAGATATTTTGTGATGTCTTTACTAGTGAAGATGTCGATGCAGACAGCACCGGCCAGAATGTGTGCTGTTTAGTTTTCTGTTTGTTTGGTTAACTGATATAGATGGTTTTATAATTATATTCTTGTGGTGAAAGCAATATTTTACTAATTCGCTACGCTTAGGCCCGTTTCATACGCCGTACTACACATGTGCCGAATACATTAAAGACAATAGATAATGAGCTGAAATGCCTCATTACCTATTGTTTTTAATGTATTCGGCACATGTGAAGTACGGCGTATGAAACGGGCCTTATTCATAAAGTATTATTTGCACTTGGTACACGTCATAAATTAGCGGACATATTCAAACTCATTTACATATCAAACAAATTGAAATATCTCGGGAACAAAGCATAAAAACAAGAAACTGGAAAATATAAATTACACTACAACTTTCATTTAAGAAAATAAGAAATTTCATGTCATATACACTTTAAAAGCAAGATTTCAATTTCCAGAAGCATATATTCGGAAAATCACGTTTCACACAATGTGCTTTGAAGCAATTTTTGTTTGAAGAAATGAGAAGAATTGATTTACTATGGAAAATCGTGAAATATAGGGCAAGTTTGCTTTGAATGTTTAATGTTTATGAATTTTGTTGCTTTAATAATTTTAATATTGCGCAAAACATGCACGGCTGTTTTCCTTTTCATTGAAGCTGTAAGTTTCCTAAATTACCCTGTTTAATTTAAGAAAAAAAGGTAAATGTAAAGGAGAGCAAATTAATTTGAAGACCTAACTAAAATTACTCAACAATTTGAAGTAAAAAGACAAATCGCAGCAGTTAATCAAGTTATGATGATCGGCAAAAGCAGTTTAGTTATTAAAATGAACATTTCAAAACATTTTACGAAGCGATTCAGGTTAAATTTTACATTAAATCAAAGCTCACAAAATCCAGAACAACATAACTACAGTACATATTTCGGAAATTCATTGTTATATAGTTAAAAGCAATAATCTTTCGACTATTTTTGCCGTGTTGTGCAAAAGTATAATGAAAATTAAAACGATCGTGACTGACGTAAACGCGAACCTGCGTTCAGTGTTGATCAATTACTAATACTTCATGTTAAATCAATATTTGGAAAATATGGGCGAGGGGTTGCTGCATCCATGTATTTCTAATCAGTTTACTATTCAATGAATTGAAGTACTGTATTTTGTATTCTGCGAAGGTACAGCAATGCGTGTTCTTGTTAACTTTTACAGTTTTATTGAAAGAAAACGCTTTAAAATGGCTTCATATTTATTAATAATTCAAGCACGTTAGGTGAAAGAACAGCCCGAAAATAAGTAAAACACACACCAAATCATTGTGGGAGAATGGGTTCAGGGTGAAGTGAACCAATTATATACATTATACTCTCAAACTCTGGTCAACCCAAAGACTCATTAAGCCTTATGTTTTCATCCCGCACGCGTATATATAAGACCTGCTAGGACAGACTGAATGCTCCATAGGAGCTCTGCCCGAAGGGTAGCGACCCCCTCTGATATAGACCTGAACCAAGGGGTGATAATCCCCTTGGACAGTACCTGCGATTCGACTGATTATATTTACATAAATAACCTGAGTCTATGGGCCTGAAGTTGACCATTGGGAACACTTCAACCCCGAACTAAAATTTATTTGTTTGAACATAAACCAATTTAAGTATTTACATAGCGATAATTTTCCATGAGAAAATTGTTCGATAGTCTTTCTTGACAAATTGTTCTTGAACAGTCCTTGCATAACATTAGTACCCATACAGTACAATGCACCAGATACCAGGAACATGAACGGGTGGGTGGGTGGAAATTTTCTTTCTCGGTAACAAGACATTGCTCTTTGTTGGGATATTTGTCAAAGTGAACTCCCTTATCACATTGACCTTTGTTCTGCGTGTTCGTTGTTGACATATAATTGGTCAGTTGATCTTTCATTCGGTTTACACATTGCCCAGAGAAACATTTGAACTTTGGACTATTGGATATCGCCTTTTTGTGGCTGTTGACAAGCTTATCCTGTTACTATGAGATTATAACCAGGTTTGAAGGTGACAAATGTGTTGTCTCATTAACTTGAATTTATATATTGTTGTATATAAATTTGCTCAAATATGCCTTTTACAAAACATGCAACGAACAACGAACGTTTTTCAATAATGTTCTCACGTGTTAAGGTCACGTGTCATTCTTTATCAATGAATGTCAACAATGTTCCTAATTTATCTTTATATGTTCATATGTATACTAGTATATCCTAACACCTCCACTCACACTCAGCTTCACACTGTCTATGATGAGTCTGGTTTACTTGGATAAGTTCCCTAATAAAACAGAACGATGTTTCTCTACTTTAACACGCGGTAAAGACTTTGTTAAAATGTCTGCTGTCATCTCTTCAGTTGGGATGTAGTGGGTTCCTACTTCTTCGTTTTCACTCTTTCTCGGATGAAATGTAATTTTGTATCGATGTGTTTCGATCGTTTGTGCATTACTGGATTATGACACATCTTGATACACGACTGATTATCTTCTCCAATATCGGTTGTTTTTTCATAGGATAACCAAAATCTTTCATTAGTGCTCTAAGGTAGATGCTTCTTGCACTGCTGCTGCCATAGCTTGATGTTCTGCTTCTGTAGATGATAACGCAACTGTTGCCTGTTTCTTTACTTCCCAGCTTACAGCTCCACCATCACCTTCAAATTTGAAGTAGTAGCCAGTTGTGGATCTTCGATCGTTCACGTCACCACTCCAATCTGCATCTGAATCACCCATAAGTTTAACGTTGGAATTCTTAAGAAAGGTTAATCATAGATTAATTGTACCTTTAAGATATCTTAAGACGTGTTTTGCTGCTTTCCAATGCGACATATCGGGATTTTCAAGAAATCTCGACAATTGGTTGACAATATGAAGAATGTCAGGATGTGTTTGTTTCCCAATGTATAGAAGCGATCCAACTAGACTTCGATATAACTTCGGATTAACTAATTCGTGCTCTCCGCTGGCTTTAACTAACTTGAGATTGACTTCTCCAGGAGTTGCCATAGGCTTGCAATCACTCATGTTGAACTGTTCAAGAACGCTCTCAATGTATCTCTCTTGATCTATTGTGATCATGTTCTCCGATCTTAAAATTCGCATTCCCAAGAACCAGTGTAAAGTGTCTCGATCGTCCATCTTGAAATTCTCTTTCAGTATCGATTTGATTGCATCAATGATTTCATCGTTGACTCCCGCTACTATGATGTCGTCAACCCATACCAGTACGTACGAAAACGTGCCATCTGTTTCTTTCCTAACAAAGAGACAATAGTCGTTGCGACTTCGCTGATAACCTTTGCTGACGAGGAGGTTTGCTAGTGTTTCGTACCAATTCTTTGCTGCTTGCGTAAGACCATAGATAGATTTATTTAATTTGCACACTAGTTTCTGTCCGTTTTCTCCTTGCTTGACAAAACCTTCGTGTTGCTCAAGATAAATTTCTTCTTAAATGGTTGAGTGAAGATAAACTGATTTTACATCCATTTGACCAAGATGTAGATCTTTCTGTGCTGCTATTGCTAACAATATTCTGAAAGTCTCTGGTTTGCATGTAGGGCGTAAGTATCGGAGAAAAGTCCAAGCCTTCGACTTGAGCAAAACCTTTTGCTACGTATCTAGCTTTGTACTTATCAATTTGTCCATCTGCTCCATACTTGACTTTGTATACCCATTTTCCAGGTAAAACTTTTCTATCTTTCGGTTCTCGAACAAGTGTCCAAGTGTTATTGTCCTCAAGCGATTCGAATTCTGCTTGCATTGCTTGTTTCCAATATTTAGCTTGTGTTGAACTTACAGCATCTTTGTACGTTTTTGTTTCGTTCCCCGCAGGAACGAAACGGTACTGTATTTGGTTTCGAGCAATTATCACAGGAAAGTGACGTCAGAGATCAAAGTTATCCAATCCTTTGCCAGTATTCTTGCTGAAACGTCAATTACATTTAGAATCGTCCAATGAGATGACCGCTCCTAGCATAAGAAGTTTTTTGGAGGCGTGGCGTATAATCGGAAATCTTAGTTAATTGTATATCAACCTATGAGAACATGCTAACTTAACCTGAAGTTCAGGCCCTAATTTTAAATAGGGCCTGACACAAAACCTGTCTAGACCGTGGGACGCTCACATGTTATTTTTAGACACAGCATGCAATATGATTGACAAGTGTTATAGATTTCGTTACACAAAAAAATTATATTCTCATGAACATGTCCGCAGAGTGTGCATTTCGCTTTTTAATTAAACTTTAAAATTCAAGGTACTTTTATATAATTAAGAGTCAGTTTCCCTATTTAACCGAACAGCAAACGAAGATTCAATTAGTCAGTTCTGTGTACAGCTTGACTGCCAAGCTTTCTCAAGGTCTCAACTTGCTGGACGCGGATATATACCAGGGATATACTTTTCCGGGCTAACAACAGCAACAATAAAATTCTCAATCGTACCACGAAGAAGGCGATGTAGCTCAGAAAACAACACCGGTAGGATATTAAAAATAAGACTTTTGCCGGCGAAGCCAGTTGGCAGAACATCTTGGCTGTCAACAACAAACTTTCGAATAGATGACTAGTTTAGTTTGGCTGTTCTTTCAGCGTCGTGTGTCCAAAATTCGTCAAAGATTTTGATAAAGACCTTCAAAATACTCTTTGTTTGATTTATTTTCTGCCATAAAGCATATTAAAAGAAAAGAAATTCGAATAAATCGATAATGGATTTGTTACGTGCGTTTGACCTTTATATTATTATTGTCCCCTTGAGCCCTTGACCGAGCTATTTTTAAAACTGTTGTTTATGTGAACTTGCAACCAATCAAAATCTTAGGGCCTGAACTTCAGGTCAAAATCTACAGGCACGATGATTTATATTTGAAGTATTCAAGCGCCAACAGCGGTATATATATATATTTATTATATAGTTTTCTTTGTTTTTCTTCATTTTAAATACTACTACTGTATTTGTGGACCGCTCGGCCCCTCCAGGTATAATGAAAATTGATAGAACCCGCCCGCCTCACAAAATGAACCGATTTCATTGCTCGACATATACAAGTGATCTATGGTCACAACCGCTAATTATAGACGTCTGGTATTTCTATAATTATATTGGAACGAAACATTATTTCTTTTTTAAAGAAATATTTTCTTGTTGGTTCTGTGACAGTTTCTTCTTGGGTTGTTTTGAAAGTAAATGGGTTACCGTATCTTTCGGGAGGTCGTCTATTTCTATTTGCTCTTGGAAGTGATGTTCCTCTTCATCTTCCAATTGATCATGTGTATTTGGGATTACTTCTCTATTTCCCTCCACTTTATCTTCGACCGGTTTCTCGGTGGTTTGGTCATTTGAACGTTCGTTGTCAAGATCAATGTTTGGACTTTCCAAAAAGGACTCTTCTGGTCTAGCATTCTCCCTTGCTGAGAATGACTGAATTTCATCTTCTTTGAAGAGAACGTTACGGGCTTTGATGATTTTCTTTGTAGAAAACTCTTGTAAAATGTACGCTGTACTCTTGTCATCGTAACCGAGGAATTTTGTTTTCACAGATCTGGAATCGAGCTTTCGTAAGTTGACTTTTATTTTCCTTACATAAGCTGTGCAACCGAATACTCTAAGATGATTTCTTCTTGGTGCTTTACCAGTGAATAGTTCAAAAGGACTCATGTTTTGGTTGCTGTTTATGCTCACTGTGAGATTTCGAATGTGGACTGCGGTAGCTAAAGCTCTTACCCAATAACTCTTTGGTAATTTTGCTTCAATGAGTAAACACCGTCCCATTTCTACTAAAGTTCGATTAAAGCGTTCTGCGACGCCATTTTGCTGTGGTGTTTCAGGAACTGTGAATTCTTGTTTTATCTTTGAATCTCCGCAATAATTTTTAAATTGCTTGGCTGTATACTCTGCCCCATTATCTGTCCGTAATCTTTGGGATGTTCCTGCTTCCGCCACGTATTCTTTGAATTTGTCGAGAACTTGGGACTTGTTATTCATATACTTTACAACTGAATACTTCGTATATTCATCTATGAAGGTAACTGCATATTTTGACCCATTTAGACTAGCTACTTCGAAAGGACCGAGAATGTCTGAATAAACAAGTTCGAGAGCTTTCCGAGCTTTGGTTTGTACTTCTTTTGGTACTGGTTTGCTTGCTTGTTTTCCCATTGCACATGTTTCGCATACGTCTTTCGAGTTATTCTTACATCCAATAGTACGCTCAACATCAACTTTGTTGAGATGCCCCAGACGTTTGTGCTATAAACCGATATCTCCTTTGATATCTCCTTTGCTCGTGTTGCAAGTGACTGGGTCGATTAGGTTTCGAAAGGTGACTTTTAGGAAGAACAGACCAGTGTCTTTCTTTAAGTTAATTTCATGACCATCATTCAACACCATTCTTGCTTTACTCTCGTGAAATATGAATCTATGGCCAAAAATAACGGCTGTATTGACTGAAAGGAGGTTTACCTCATAGCTTGGTACATAAAGAACATTTCTTAGGACCATTTCTGCCATCTTTCCATCCATTAACTGGACCGTTATTGGCACGTCGCCAATTCCTTCAACAGGTGTGAGGTTTCCTTTGGGATCTCTAACACTCTTTTCATTACAAGGACGTAGATTTTCAAAGACATTATTTTGATTTATGATGGGATCTGTACAACCAGTGTCCACGATTAAATAATTTGACTATTCTGAGCCATTGTTTTCTTCTTGCAAAGGACTTACGAAACAATTGGAATAAGATGAGACTGCAGGTGGTTCTTTTCCTTGAGATTTTTCTGTTTTCCCAGCACTTCTACAAGCTTTTGCCAAGTGACCTCTTTTCTTGCATATGGAACATGTTGCTGAGCTCCTTTTATTACATTGTTTTGCGAAATGTCCTGGATTTCCACAAACATAGCAATTTTTCGTCTGTGGTGTCGAACTCTTATTTCTAGCTTGTCTATTTGAAGAATGCATTGCCACTGACGAATTATCTTCCGTTTGATTTCTTTGTATTCGACTGTTTTCATAATTTTGCAGTCGGGTTCTTAGTTCAGTAAATGTCGACGCTGGATTAAAACTTTCTTATACAACAAAATGTTCGTATTTGTCTGGAAGACCATTAATAATTAATGCATTAAACAGTGTTTCTGATATTTTCTCACCAGCTTCAGATTGTCTTATGATATTATGTAATATATGGCAAAATCATTAAACTAAACTAAACTAAACTAAACTAAACTAAACTAAATAAACTAAACCCCTCCATCATTAAAAAATTCTTACATTCCCTCCTAAAATATTTGCTTGGAAATGTCTGACACCACCCTTCCCTCATTTCATACCAGCCCCCTCCTGTATTAATAAGGAACGGTCCCTAAAGCCGGAAAATTTTTTTAAAATGATTAAATGATTAGTCTGCCAAAAGAAAGACATTAAATCACAGGGGGGCATATGGAACATGTTGCTGAGCTCCTTTTATTACATTGTTTTGCGAAATGTCCTGGATTTCCACAAACATAGCAATTTTTCGTTAAACAGTGTTTAAACAGTGTTAAACAGTGTTTCTGATATTTTCTCACCAGCTTCAGATAGTCTAGACATAAGCTCTTGAGAACGTATAAAACATTCGTGTAATTTTTCATCTTCTCCGAGCTGTAAACGCGATAACTGTCTCACTAGACTTACTACGGTAGGCTTTTCCACGTTTGAATAACGTTGCTGTAATAAACGCCACGCTTTTGCTCCATCACCCGTTCCATCTGGGGACAAACAATCATGTCGAATATACATAAGACTTGTTTGTCTAGTGCTAACGCAATATGACACCAAACGCTATTCTTTCGCTCGTCGATTTCTTTAATTTGTTGATTTTGTTGCTCTACTTGAGCTGTCCATTCTGCTCTTTCATCGGCTGTGGCTGCTTCGGTTAACGGAGTGACTTCTGGCATTAAAACTTCCTTATCGAGAAGTGACTTGTACAAACCTTTTGTTTGCATATACGCCATAAATTTCGTACTCCATGCTGGATAATCCTCAGCTAAACTTGTGAAACATAGCCACTTTATAGTGTGACTGTCCATTGTGGAATCTACTGGGCCCATAACCTGTTAACTTTTATAGTTTTATTGAAAGAAAACGCTTTAAAATGGCTTCATATTTACAAATATGCCTTTCACAAAACATGCAACGAACAACGAACGTTTTTCAATAATGTTCTCACGTGTTAAGGTCACGCGTCATTCTTTATCAATGAATGTCAACAATGTTCCCAATTTATCCTTATATGCTCACATGTATACTAGTATATCCTAACAGTTCTTACACTGACAACTACTAACAGCAATTATTATGCATATATGTTATTTACCGGCTGCGAGTTCTGTACGGAAAAAAATATTTTCCCGAGGTCTCAGAAGCGGCGCGAGGGACGCTTCTCAGGCCGAGAGAACATTTTTTTAGTGCAGACCGACCTAAACGGTAAATAACGTGTTTATTTTTTATTTGATGCATGGTTCATGCTTATAACAAAATTCCGATAAAATTCCAGTTGCGAAGTACATTTGAGATCAGTTGCGTTTGTTACTTTGGTGCAAACATCGCTGACAAACTGTTAAAACTACGAGCTGTCTTCTATCATAGCTGCATCAGGCACTTAAAAAAACAGATGAAATAATTAAACATAGGGGATATAAGGCTGCGCAAATTAAGATATGGACTTTGATTTCGCGTTGAGTTTGACGTCTGCGTTGCTTGATCGCGGAAATCACATGATAGTTAGTCATTATATAAAATTCACTTTCTTCCTTGGCAACAAACCACAACCTGTACCTGTGTAGGTTGGTTCATCGTCATCTTTGTTTTTCAAAGCAATCATACCGACAGATTTAACACACTTTCCCATTCTTTGAACGTAGTTGTCTTTTTTTGTTATAAAGGGAAAAAACAAAAAATGAAGATTTTGACCAAACAAAGTTAGGGTACTAATAATTATAACAACAATAACAATAAAGATGAGGACAGGGATAAGGATGATAATAAATACGATATTATTTCAATCATAACTCATAGTGGGGCCCTGTGACCTTAACCAAACAATTACCTAAGCTTGAAGCTTCACTTCAGTCTTCAATTGACCATCTGAAGTTCGAGCTGTCTTCCACTATAGCTGCATCGGGCACTTGAAATAATTAAACATAGGGGATATAAGGCTGCGCGAATTAAGATATGAATTCTATCACATGATTGGCAGGTTGGTATCACATAAGATAGCACTGCGCTTGCGCCAATCACTGCACGGTTTGCGACCAACGAGGGAAGACGTGTATTTTGTCTTCTTGCTCTTTTCACCAAAGCGAAACAGATCTAAATATATTAATATTTATTAATACATCTCTAGTACTTTTGACAGAACGTAGTTCGTCACTTCAAAGTACAAAAACATAATGACTTTATAAATGTATTAATTCTAAAGACTGTTGATATCAGTTCACTTTTTCTCCAGTGTTTCATCACATTTACCAGTGAGTGAAGTTTGAAATTATCATCTTGGATGATAACAGTGATATTCAACCATTTTGAAGAGCTTGCAACCAACATGACGTCATAAATTAGCGGACATATTCACACTCATTTACATATCAAACAAATTGAAATATCTCAGGAACAAACCATGCAAACAAAAAACTGAAAAATAAGTTGCACTACAGCTTAAAGAGTTATCTCATTTAAGAAAATAAAAAATTTCATGTCATATGCACTTTAAATATCCTCAGTGTGCTTATCCCACTCCCGGCAAGCAGCCATATTTTTAAGATCAGTGAGGAGGTACACCCATGAACCATAGTCACGCGATCATTGATGAACTTTAGACTTCGCTAATGCGTTCCTTTCCCCGGGTGTAAATAGCCGAACGGAGTTAGTACACTCGCCCTGGGCTAACGCCCGGAACGGCGCTCCGCGCCGTTGGCTCGGGGATAAATTACTGAATGGAAATCCGTATGGAAGTTAATGCTATAATATTTGAATAAGGTTCATTTGGGCTATCAAATCGCAATTTGCATAAGGTTAATTTAAACTATCAAACTGACTTGCGTTAGTGGAGATTTCAGTTTCCATTACAAAATACAGAGGAAGTACATACAGACGTCTCACTTCGGGTTAATTTAGCGTAAGGGATTTTTTCAGTCCGCCATGTTCTTAGCAAGGTGTCCTAAAGAGAGTCAGTCACCCCCTGAAAACAAATTGAAATTTAATGTTCCAGGGGGTGAATCCCTCTTCAGGGCACTTGCTAAGAACATGGCCGCCAACTAGTTCGGAAAAACTACCTTACGGTTTTGCTGCAGAAGTAAGACCTCTGTATGTGGTACAGTGTGCAGCAACCTTTCGCTTATATTTTCCAAACATGGATTTAACATGAAGTATTCGTAATTGGCCAATACTGAACGCAAGCTCGCGTTGCGCGTACACGGTTATTTTTAAATTTTTAAAAAATTTCATATTTTTTTGTATAAAATGACAAAAGTATTTGAAAATTTAGTACTTTTTACTATACAACAATGAATTTCCGAAATATATAATGTAGGTATGTTGTTTTGCATTCTGGTTTGATTTAATGTAAAATTTAATCTGAAACTCTTCGTTAAAAGAGCGAGAGCCAGTTGCAGGGAATCCTTTTTAATATTTTTATGTTTCCGTAAATGTAGTTTTTCTACGCCTGGCCATAGTCTTTCGAGACATGGTCTGGAAACTCAGTAAACTTCAAAGCGGTTATAATGAGCTGGGATTTTATGTTGAGCCGTATCTTACACCGTGCACATCCTTTGTTTTAGGTTTATTAATATTTAAATAGCATGGTTGAATGACTGAACTGAAACGTTGCTATTGGATGATTCGTTCATTATACTGAAATACAATGTGTTCATTGACCGTGCACTGTGCACAAAACTGCATAAACGCGAACAAAAAGATAGAACAAAGACTTTAGCGGAGTTTCCAAACCATGTTTTGAAAGACTATGGCCTGATACACTCATTACATGTTCGTTATGGTTTGTCGTGGCTCTTAAACGGGCGCTTTCTTCGGCGAAATGAATTAGGTGCATGTGCAGTAAAGATTAATTAAGCTTCGTGAGAAAAAAAATTCGCATCGCCAGTGGGTAGAAGTCAGTTCTAGTCACTGCGAAAGCCATGTGCAACCGTATTTCACAGACGTATTTCGCCGTCGTTGAATCAGGCCTTAATAAACTTAAGTTAAGTGTCCAGCTTTGGAAACAGTTCTCACGAAGCAAACATATTTCCCAATAAATTCAGAAACATATTTTGTTTCTCCATGTGATTTCTTTAGCGGAAACAATTGTTTCTTGTTTGTCCACTTCCGAGAAGAAGGCTGAATATAAAAGACAATATTGTTTCCTGGTTTGCACACCTTTGGAAAGAAGGCTAGGAAACAATGTTTCCTGATTTGCTCAGCTTCAGGAAACATGACTTGGGAACAATATAACCTGGTTTGCCCAACTTCAGGAAACATGCCTAAGAAACAATGTTTCATTGTTTGCCCACTTTCGGGAAACATGGCTCGGAAACAATGTTTCATGGTTTGCCCACCTTCGGAAAACATGGCTTGGAAACAATGTTACCTGGTTTACCAACCTTTCGAGATAAAAAAAATTGTGAAGGAAATTCTATCTTGTATTTTATTATAGATGCCATTGGTTCAGAAAAACCAACACAGAAAAGCAAGAAGTCGTCGAAAGAAAGCCCCATGTGTAGTTCTTGTGCTTCAAAAGACGAAACACCGCTTTCAAGTGACCGGGACAAATGGCCCATTGGTAAAATCGAAATTGGTTGTTTTCAACAAATTTGCAAACTACTCGACTTTGCTAATCGTAGCAAGGAACCACTTGTGAGCGCTTTAGGTGGCTTCAACCAAACAGAGGCTGCATATATTGGAATAACATATGAAGCAAAGGGAGGATTGGGGACTGCCGAAGAAGTGCTCTTTAAGTGGGGATCAAGAAATCACGAAAATAATGTGGGGGCTCTTAAGAAGATTGTTCAATATACTTTGCAAAGGATTGATGTTGTTGACGAGATTGAAAAATGGGAGAATTCGTCTGTTTGTCATGGATGCGGTATTAAATTGAACCATTGAACTGAATATAACTGGAAGGCTAAGTCAGGGGGGGAGGAGTTGAAGCCGTGCTTGAAGCTTTCTTTGTAGATAGACCAAGTCCTTTTTTTAAGATTTTTTTCAAAATATGCACATTTTTTAATCAGATAAATCTTGCCCCAAAATACCAGTTATACCACCGAATTTAATTTATATCAGTAGTACGATAAACATATTCGCAAACCAAACAAATTATATTAGAAATTAATTTCTAATTCGAATTAGAAAAAAAATACGAAAAAACACGACCATAAGCAGGGCACATGTTATTTGTTCGTGCTACTAAATACGTCGAGGTATTCTCTAAATTTTTGGTTTTGTTTTAAAATCTCGCTTCAAAATCGTGTTTCAAAAGTTTATAATAATGCGCTCAGTATCCGATTTTAACTGTGTATTGCTCTACATGCAGGCGTACCAAATACATCATAATTTCAGCGTAAAATTTGCATTTAACATAAAATTGGGTTAGAAATTTGAGTTTATTCTAATGCAAACGAATAGGGAAATATATCAGGATTATAAACTCAGACTCATTTTCCGGGGACGGGTGCGTTTTTGCCGTTACTACCATTTGTTGGCGCGTTAGTCCTTGCCTTGTCAGCCTGATAAGAATTGAAGAATTGCCTTCTAACTGTATGCATCACACGCCTGGATAATTACCAGTGGTTAATCTTAATCAAGCGACCGCGCGCGCCTATAGTACGAAGTACAAAATATACATCGTAATAATTTGAAACAGTATTAAAATGTTGGATGCACTTACTTGTAATTCCTTTCAATTTCTTTTCTTTCAAGAGCTTCCCAGGCTTGGTTTGAGAGGCGGCATACTTCAGATATTGGGCGGAAATAATGAATTGTTGTCGCACACAGCCTCGGTTAAAAACAAGTGAATCATTTAAGGATTTTAATTTGAAACGATCCATATTTTTAGCATGAAATAGAAAGTATTACAAATTTTGTAAATGAAGAAATTCGAACCTTCATAAGCAACCAGATCCAACAGCAGCGGCAATGTAAAAGAGTGACGCACTAAACGTAAAACAGCGTGCATTGGCAAACTGAATTCCTGGAACCAACACGTAGACTGGTCAAACATTTGATAAAATCGACTTGAGATATAACCAAGATATCTCTCCTCCGCAGAGGCTTGAAGACGAGCGGGGCTGCCGGGCGAAGGAACTAATGCTAAAGCCTCTGCGGAGGAGAGAGTAACCAATACGTTTAACGCCATTTGCCTTTCGATTTTAATCATAATAGAGCCATTTATACGAGCGATAATAAGTCGCGGCTTTATTTCGCGTAAAGAGGTCAATTTATTCGTAAATAAGCTCAGAGTAAAAACCTGGCCAAAACGAGTCCAAAACTAATTTGTTACTTATTTAAAATTGACTGTTTATACGAGTTGTTCGTTACTCATTTAGGCTGCAGCTTATTTAGAACGAGACGTATTTAGTGGCATGATTAAATAATATGTTCATGAAAACAGAACTGTATGGTTTAGACGATTTTTATAACGAAACAAATAGCCAGGAGCAATTTTTTATGACACATTAAATATACGCGTAGTGTAAGGATGGGTATAAACTGATAATTATTTCCAGCTAGATTGTGAAGACTCAAATCATTGGCATTGATCTTTTACATAAAATTCTTTACATGCTTCAAATGTCGGGGTAAGACTCAAGCGTCAAATATTTTCAATGAGTTCGAGTTAAGTCACTCTTTTTTCACGGGGCTTAACTCGAACTTTCCAAGTCGTGTTTCTTTCTTCGAGTTAAGCTCTTGACAAAAATGGGTGTGGTTTGGCTCGAAGATTACTTCCATCAAAATCCGCCATGTTTCTTGCTTCTCTCAGTGAGCTACTTCACTTCGTTGACTGAACTTCACTTGTTTCCATCTACCAAACTGCCGTTACGTCATTTGATCAATTTCTAAAGTTGTTTCTTTTTGGATTTTTTTATTAGTTGCGTTAGGGTTAGAGTTCGGGTTGCGGTTAGAGTTAGGGGTTAGACTAGGGGTAGGATTTGGGTTAGTTACATAGCCATCTAATACCTCTTTCATCTTCCGAAAATAACGTCATGTCATGTCAGGAAGTCGTTTAGATCCTGGAAATTACAGGAATACAAGGGAATATGGATAAGCAGTTGCTTAAGTAAATTCTTTACTTTATTTTTGAATTGCCGTTTTAACACTTTTTTGGAAGGAAACAAGATTTTAAATGAATGTCAAATTGGGTTTAGATATGGGTTCAGAACGTCTGATCACATCCTTGTACTAAAAACAATTGATTTATACAAGAGCCATAAAAGGCCGTTATTTGCATGCTTCATAGACTTTCGGAAGGCTTATGACAGTGTATGAAGAGAAGGTCTATTCTATAAACTTATTCAATACGGTTGTAGCAGAAATTTTGTTCGTGTTTTACTCATAGATATCTTGGTTTTACTCAGCATGTATTCTTCTGTTAGGGCTGCAGTCAAACTTAATGCAGGAGTTACTCCTTCCACTTCGCCCGTATCGTGCCGTAACGTACTGGTGAGCATCGGCAGATTGAAAAGGGGTTTATAAAACCACGTACTTCCGGGTGTATTCGCTGCCTCGTACCCAGGCGTCTCTTTGTAAAAAAACAGTGATGCGCATATGACGAGTTTACATGAAGTATTGTAGTGGGGAGAGATGGCGAAGGGATTGATGGGAAGAGTGCACTTGAACTGCGAGACGCTCAGACGCCAGAGCTCAGACGCCTGGCAGTTCTTGGTACGATTTCTTGCAAGTTGTGATATTTCGTTGTCGTTTACGATTTTTTGCTACTTGTTTTTGTTGAATTGACTAATGTTAATATTCTTCCGTCATCTGGGCGTGAATTCATGCTGTTATTCTTGGTATATATGACATATGCCTTATTTAAAGTCCATGGAAATTCCAATATTAACATGTCAACAACCGAAGCGTTGAAGAACTAGACTTGCAGGAACTAGATTTGTAAGCTATAACTATATAAATGTACAAACTATAAAATTGCACTGTTGTAATAAATATTTCAAACTTTACGGCTGTGAATTTTTATTTACTTGGGCTTTTGTTTACAGTATACATTTAATAGAAATTGCCATTGGCATTGTGATCGACTGATCGAGCCTTCAGCTAAAGAAGTTATTAATACAAAAGCAATTATATGACTTTCTAATCATCTCTCTGTTACTATTTTATACTAAGCAACTGATAGCATTCTATTACTCTCCATGTAATAATACCGAATGACATATTCGAAATATTCGCACGGTAAACTTGCCATGTAATTTACTCATAATTTTTCGCGCATTTTGCATGTCATCAAACATCTACAAATTTATTATTATTTGCCAATGGCGTTCAATTCGACTCTTCGTCAAAAAATAAGGTTTTACACACAGAGTATATGACGATATGGTAACGTTTTGTATTAAATTCCATGTTTTCCCGCCATGACAGTATACAAGAACTGCCAGGCGCTCCCCAGCACGCATCCTTCCCAACAGCCCCTTCGCGCGTCGCCTGCCTACCTGAATACTTCATGTATTGTAATTATTTAAAGCGCCTGGGTACGAGGCAGCTACATGATACTGTTTAGACGCGATAAGTATTAAAGGCGAGAGACAACTGTCCCCAATTTGGGCAGAAATTTTACCAAGTTGGGCAATTCTTACCCAACATTAGAGCAGTTTTGTTTGGCAGTCGTCTTGTATGCAGGTCTGGCTAGGGTGTATACAAAAAGGTAATCCTGTACAGCCCAACCCTTATTAAGTGAAATCCTTCGGGAGTCGGGACCAGTCTGTTCGCTTTAAAGAAGTGTCCGCATAATTAATAGGGGTTTGCAACAGCGAACATAGCAGAAGGTAACGCCCAACTATTGCTTGTTACGAAAATTTATTGAGTATACTTGCTTTTATCATACAGTTACGTTTGTTAGTTCTTAAAAAATTCATTAATAATTCACGAGGAAAATGCAAAAGAAATGAATGTTTAATCAATGTTTGTAAATTGGATAAAGATTTGTCCTGATTTACATAAACTTCAGCTTTGATTTTCTTGGCTTAGACAATGTTTATTTTTAAAATTACTTCGCCAATGAACTCATAAGATGGGTCATTTTTTGAGTACGATAAAACATTCGCATCCGATCTGTATCTGATATACAAGTTTGCATATCAGATACAACACGGCCGCTCATGTTTTATCTAGTACTTAAAATACTCATTAATAATTCATGAAGAAAATTCAAAAGAAATGAATGTTTAATCAATATTTGTATATCGCATAAAGACGCAAATGTTTTAACTATAGTACTTATTTTGACTGTCTCTTTTTATTTCTTTAATTTATTTATGGAGTGCGGAGAATTAAATTTTAAAACGTCCACAAATATTCTTTATAACTTGAAGATATATTTTAATTATCTTTCACCAGTCAAAAAAAGTGTCTATAACAGTGTCTACTGCTCAGAGGTGTTGTCAGGAGACATTCGCATCCGATCTGTATCTGTATCTAAGGTCTAGTTCTTAAAGGCCCATTTACACTCGCGATGGAACTGACCTTCAAGTTTGGCTCAAATTTCTGATTGGAGCTAGTGTTCCAGTTATATTTATTTCACCAGTTTAATCATAATCGCGTCAACATTTACTGAGATTGACTTTAAGTTTGTTGAAAGCTATAATAACCAAGACCAATTCAAAGATCTGTGATCCTGATAGAATAATTGCAAATATTTTTTGATATGTAAACAGACTGCTACCAATTAATGGCCCTATAAGTAAAGCCAGTCTATTCAATACAGTCATTATGGCTTGCACCTTGCCTTGATTGCCTGGATTAGTGTGCTTCGAAACTAAAGAACGACCAATTGCATTGATAACAGTTGATGCAATCCCATCCAAGGCAATTGTTACTAACAAGAAATAGAAAGTTCTGTTAGACATAGAGGAATAGAATGCCAGTGGAATAATACCCATGGATGCAAGGCTGCCAAAAATAGCGGAGATCAAAAGGAGGAGTCGATCTGAAATCTTTGGTGACAGAATCAAGAGAATAATTCCAAATATGGTTATTTCTACACCCCAGATTGTAAATAGAAAAGTGACGTTGTCTTCACTCCAGTGTAACATGCGCTCAGCAACCAGGGGTGTAATTGCCTGAAGAGACGTATGGAGGATATAAATGAAAAATATCGAGTATACCAATCACGTGAAATTTGGCAAACATATCTATTAGAGCATCGCGGAATGACGCACTCCTGGATTTCGTTGAGTCGTCTGGGAATACACCCTTGTCATCTTTTGCTATTTCCTCGGTTTTGACATCGTCGTCATTTATGAACGGAGATGCCGTCATATCACCGTGCTTGTCCTTTGGGATTTCCATGCTATACGCTTCTTGGAGTTGCTCTTTTTCGGAAAACTGTTCTTCACTTGGACCGTCTGAAACTGGTTCATACCCTTTCTTTTTTCTCATCTCGTCGGAAAGATCATAGACAAATACAAACATGATACCAGTGGCTAGTATCCACATTAAAGCCATGAAAAATCCCGGGGATGTGCGGAAATCAATGTGCCAGTTACCGATGTAGAAATCACACTCTTTTAGAAAGAGGTTTAGTGCTGGTCCTAAGACAACTCCCAAAAAGAAGCATACTTTTAGCAGTGCAAAGTATCGAGTACGTTCTTCTTCAGTTGTGATTCTGGCTAGTTCTGTCCAAATCGCTGACGCATATCCTTCTCCAAATCCTGCTACCATGCGTCCGAGCAGGGGCAAGTACATGTTGAAATGAAGCGAGTATATTACATTACCAACAATCTGCATGGAAAATAATTTACGTGTACTAAATTGACATTCTTTGGCCGGAGGTGCGAAATTATACTAGTTCTTTAAACACTTTCCCTGAAATTCCATGCGATATATAGCTTAATTTAGAGCCTACGAATGCTTTCATGGTTAGAAAATTAATGTTGCACTTTCTTTTAAACTATTGGAGGTGGGGTACGGTTGCTCTCCTATAGCGCTGGTTACTCTCGCTCCTGCTCTTTCTTTACACCGCCCCGCGAAATTGCCCGCCATGTTCTAATTTTTTAATGAAAAAGCACTGAAATATAAGTAGAAGACCAAAAGGCTTTCTACATGTGTATTGTTATGGTAGAAATCCAACTGGATCGATTTTGGACCGGATTTGAAAATTTCTTCGAATTGAAGTAATGAGGACTGGATTTGAACATATCTCTAGGCGGTAAAATAAACTTTTAAACTAGATTCCAAACAATTCCAGAAAATCGAAGATTCATATTTCCATCTGCGAGACGACCAACCAAGATGGCGGAGGCAATGCCAACTGTGTAATAAGCAGACAATACCAGTCCAAGATACCAATAGTCAGCGTGAAACATTTGTAAATATGACCATATAGAGGGAAATATGACTGCATCCTCTACTCCCATCAAGAACATTCGCACAGAAAATGCGAAAACTGTTAAACTTCGCTTTTGAGAAAATGTTAGATTCTTCATGTTTTACACTGATTATCTGACAATGAAAATGAAGAAAAGCGTTTTAAGTTATTTGGTATGCATGATCTGGTGTGAATATACTGTTTTTAGTCTCTATCGAAATGCTATTTATGGTATGGTTTAAAACGTGCGTCTAATATACGTGTGTCTAATTGAAAAGAACTTTCTAAAATGTAAATAAGATGACGTCATTAGCAGGATAATAGTGTTTTTGAAATTTTACTCCTGTATGAGAAAGTGTGTTATTGGCGTTATTTAATTTCGTTATTCTCTTTTAGATTTAATCCAGCATTTGATCCATTGAACTAGAGGTTAACTGGAATACTAACTTAATATGATAATTGCCTATGATTCGTTGATGCCTATACGCGCGGGGAAATCAGCTTGCAAAAATAAAGCGTTTCGCGGAGTAAGAAAAATTCAGTCAAAAGTTTGTTTTTGAGCAACTATTTGGAAGGGGGCGTCTTTTAAGGGAGAGGTGTTACAAATTGTTGCTTAAGGGAATAGCTCTTAGACTCAATTTTGAAGGACAAACATAAACCCGTCGTGGGTTTGCTGTTTATTGCTTAAATTAATTCAGCCGTTTGAAAAGGCCAGTAATATTCTAAACGCCATATAACGAACCCTTCCCTTCATGTTCATGAAGAACACAATACCAGTGGTGCCTAAATTACTTTGAATTTGTACTCAAGTCAAAGTAGAAATAATTAACAATAAAACGACTTGAGTAAGAGTAGAAAAAAGTACTGGAGGCAAAACGTACTTAAGTAAAAAGTACAAAGTATCTTTAAAAATACTTGAACTAAAAAGTAAAAGTACTATTGTCTGTAGCGTGTAGAGGGACTTCTCCAATGGATTGACATACAAAAGACACCTAATAAACGATCTTTCACGGCATGGTCTACTTTCCAGACCCCGTTGCATGAAGATATAAAAAATCCATTGAATAAATAAAGTTTGTAAGTAAGCCACAAACGAGAGATCCCAGACGCATGTGGAGGTCCTATATTACACATCCCAAAATTAAAACAAATCCGGAATAAATCACGTAAATTAAACAAAAGTTAGAAAGTAACGAAATATTTCGCCACAAAATGAAAATAACGAAGTAAAACGTAACTTCTTAAAACGACTTCGTTCCAAGTAAAAGTACTGCAGAAAAAATTTACTTTGTTCATGCTGACTTCTCAAAAATAGTACTCAAGCTAGCACACTTACTTCGTTGCTTGACACCACTGCACAGAACGTTAGTCACGTCTCACGTCATTTGCGTTTTGTCTATGCCTGTACCGCATAAAAAATAATAGGCCGCATAAAAAAATAACAGGACAGAAACCTTTTTAGAGACATATAGAGCCACTCTTGAGTCTTGGTGTTAGATTTCATGAAGCGATGAATATGTTTCGCCGCCGGTTCAATGACGTTAAGTGAAAGTCTCGATGTCAAAATACTAGTAACTACTCACCTATGCCGGTCACTGAAATGGTTGGAATATTTCTTAATTTAAACTTCTGTTTATATACCTGCGATCCTTTTTGGTGGTTTACATAAAAAAATACAATATGTAAAATATAAATGGTTTTTGATGCTTTATGTGTTCTCCTCTAATTAAAAGATACGACAGAGCATATGTTTCGCTGTATGATACCTGCGAACTATCGTATCTGCATGGATATCAAAGTATTTATTATATTTTGTATTATATCGTGGTACGTTAAGTGCAAAGAACAAAGATATGTTTTTACAGATACTTATACTAGATCTTTCAAGTGCTTGGCAACGAAATTTTAGACCATTACTATATGATTGCATTGTAAATGTCTTGCTTCGAAATCATAATAAGCCTGCATAATTATGTAGTAAGTCACGTTTTGTAGGTGAATATGTAGGTGAATATAACGGCTCAATACGTGAAATTTGGCCAATCAACGTGTAGGATTTGTTATGTTCACTTGTGCAAAAATACCAAAAATATATGTTACATGTCGACAAATTTGAATCAATTATCTGTAAGAGATATAAAGTTTTTTCAGAAAGTTATGCAATTTGACGTTCCGAGTGAGGATAATTTGGATGGCAAACATTTAACAATTGTTCGCCGAAGGCCGCGAGGTGATATCGGGGAATATTTTATTTTTAAAAATATTCCTCGATAAAATATATATTTTTACACAAGTCTTTTGTGTTTTTGGGACTGAATTTATTTTAATTTCACTTATTTCTTTATCAGCAACTTCCACAAAACGGCTAGCCGCCATTTTGCAAATTTCGGTTTTGTTATATTCACCTGTACGTGAATATGACAGCTTAATACGTCAAATTTGACCCATCAACAGGTAGGATTTGTTATATTCACTTGTGTAGAAATACTGATGTCAAATATCTCAAGAAAGAAACAAGCTGAGATAGTTTGGAAAAGTGTCTTATAATTAAGCACTTTCAACTTAGTACAGGCACGTTGGTCAAATTTAGCGAAGTTTCTTCCACTTACGCGGGCTCGTATTATTGTCAGCGGAAATCTTACACAAAATGGCCAACTTTCAATTTTTCACCGCCAGTCCGCTGGAAAATAAATACGAGCCTGCAGTACAGGGAAAAAATATGCGGAATATGACCAGCGTGATGCAAGGGATAAAAATCTATTTACAATTTCTTCATAACGAATTTTTATATTCAATATAAACTTACCTAACTCAGCAAATATTGTACTGTTAATGTCAGCACTTCTATAACGGCTGTAAGTGTCAAAGGTGTCAGGACTTATAACCGAAAGATATTATATAGGTTCTAACTAATCACCATAATATACATGTACCATGTGATCCACTGAATCTTGCACTTTGTCCACCCTTGTGTTTAATCCAGTAAAATTAATATAACTGGAACGTGAACTGCCTATCTTTTTCTTGAAGCCAAAGCTGACTCCAAGACACGCGTGTTTGTGGGTCAAGATCCGCGTGATTACACCTCGCGATTCTTTCAATAAACAATTATTAGAAAAATATAAGAAAACTCTTAAATTAAAGTCTACTAGAAGGTTTTACCGGAATAAATGCATTAATAGAAAGCCCTCAGCGCTGTCAGGTTAAAAATGTCCTTTTGTGTAATTCTTTAGCTGGTTTTCTAGGATACATCAGTCGTGTTGACTGACCGCGCTCTTCGCATTCGGGGAAACACTGGAACTGACCTTCAAGTTTGCTTCAAATTATCGTTGGAGCTAGCGTTCGAGTTATATTTATTTCACCGGTATAATCATAAACCACGTTAACTTTTACTGAGATTGACTTTAAATTTGTTGAAAGCCAGAATAACCAAGACCAATTCAAGGATCTGTGATCCTGATAGAATAATTGCAAATATTTTTTTATGTGTAAATAGACTGCTACCAATTAACGGCCCTGTAATTGAAGCCAGTCTATTTAATACAGTCAGTATCGCCTGCACCATGCCTTGGTTGTCCGGATTAATGTGCTTCGAAATTGAAGAACGACCGACTGCATTAATAACAGCTGATGCTATCCCATCCAAGGCAATTGTTACTAACAAGCTATAGTACGCTCTGTTAGACGTCGGGGGAGAGAATGCCAGCGGAATAACACCCACGGATGCCAGGCACCCGAAAATGGCGGAGATCAAAATGAGGAGTCGATCTGAAATTTTTCGTGACAGAATCAAGAGAATAATTCCAAAGATGGTGATTTCTACACTCCAGATTGTGAATAGAAAAGTGACATTGTCTTCACTCCAGTGTAACATGCGCTCAGCAACCAAGAGGATGATGGCCTGAAGAGATGAATGGAGAACGATAATGAAAAATGTCGAGTATACCACTACAATCACGTGAAATTTGGTAAAAATATCCCTTACAGCATCTCGGAATGACCCACTGCTGGATTTCTTTGAGTCATCTGGGAATATACTGTTATCATCTATTTCCTCGGTTTTGATAACGTCTTCATATATGAACGGAGATGACGTCATATCATCGCCCTTGTCCTCGGAGAGGCTTTCGATTGTATACCCTTCTTGGAGTTGCTCTTGTTTTGAAAAATGTTCTTCACTTGGACCGTCTGAAACTGGTTCATACCCTCTTTCTTTTCTCATCTCGTGTGAGAGATCATAGACAAATACAAACATGATACCAGTGGCTAGTATCCACATTAAAGCCATGAAGAATCCCGGCGATGTGCGGAAATCAATGTGCCAGTTACCGATGTAGAAATCAAACTCTTTTAGAAAGATGTTTAATGCTGGTCCTGAGACAACTCCCAAAAATAAGCTCACTTTTACCAATGTAAAGTATCGAGTACGTTCTTCTTCAGTTGTGATTCTGGCTAGTTCTGCCCAAATAACTGACGCATATCCTTCACCAAATCCTGCTACCATGCGTCCTAGCAGGGGCAAGTACATGTTGAAATGAAGCGAGTATATTGTATTACCAACAATCTGGAAAATACATTATGTGTGTTAAGTTGACATTCTTTGGACGGAGGTGCGAAATTACTGGTTCTTGAAACACTTTGCCTGAAATTCCATGCTATGAATATACATGTATCTATACCGTAATTTAGAGCCCACGAATGCATTCATGGTTAAAGTTTCTTTAGAAACTGCAGGTGGGGTACGGTTACCCTGCTATAGCACTGGTTACTCTCTCTCGCTCCTGTCCTTCCTTTAGCCCACCCCGAAATCAGCACATGTTCTAATTTTTGTATTAAAAAAAGCGCTGAAATCTAAATAGAAGACCAAAAAGCTTTCTCCATGTGTATTGTTACGATTGAAATGTGATTCGATCAGACTTGAATCGGATTTGAAAAATTTCTTCGAAATACAGTAATGGTTACCTCAACCAGGTTACCTCAACCCGCGGTTGGATTAGATTAGAGCTTGATTTGAACATATCTCTAGGCAGTAAAATAATGCTTACCTCAGCTAGATTCCAAACAATTCCAGAAAATCGAAGATTCATATTTCGGTCTGCGAGACGACCAACCAAGATGGCGGAGGCAATGCCAACTGTGTAATAAGCAGACAATACCAGCCCAAGATTCCAATAGTCAGCGTGAAACATTTGTAAATATGGCCATATAGAGGGTAATATCACCGCCTCCTCTGCTCCCCTCAAGAACATTCGCGCAGAAAATGCGAAAACTGTTAAACTTCGCTTTTGAGAAAATGTTAGATTCTTCATATTTTACACTGATTATCTGCCAATGAAAATGAAGTAAAACGCTTAAAGTTATTTGGTGTGCATGATCTGTTGTGAATTTACTGGTTTTATCGTCTATTGAAATGCTAATTACGATATAGCTAATATATTAATTAATTATTAATTAAGATATGATGGTCTGGAATCCCGGCAAAATTCAAGGCCACAAAATAGAAGACCTTTGTCTGATGCTGAACCACATGTGCCTCACCGTGCACAAATCCTTTGTCTCGACTTCATTAAAAATAATTCATCGTGGTTGCACGTTTCATCTCAGCTATCCCTATTGGACGGTTGCTTCGTTCAAGATGATGATTCGTTCATGGCGACGCGTGGGAAAATCATCTTCCAAAAAGAATTAAGGAGCGACAGGAGTGTTTCAGGGTTTTTTTAAGAGAGAGAGAGAGAGAGAGAGAGAGAGAGAGAGAGAGAG